TGAGAACACAAAAAAAACTAGGAGTTGTGGTGGTTTTTTTTTTTTTTTTTTTTTTGGCAGGCTTTAGCGTGGTTTATCATATTAAGTTGAAGTGGATGGGGGAAGGAGTCAAACAGAAAGCTTTTTTCCTAGCAGAAATTAAGAGAAATCTTTTAAAGCTGGCAACTGAAAGAAGGACTGTGAATACTATTATCTTTGCTCAGTTGCAGGTTGGTTTTGGGGGGTTTTTTTTTGTTTGTTTGGGGTTTTTTGTTTGTTTTGGGGTTTTTTTTGTTTTTGTTTTTGTTTTTTTTTTTTAAATTCAGCTTTGAAAGGAGCTCTTCCACTACAGATTTGTGGAGGAGAGGTGGGAGGTTAATCTTCTCTAAAATTGGAGCATAAGTGCTTTTTTGATAAAACTTCAAAAGACCCACAGCAGAGAATTGGCGCTCACTTACAGTCCTGACTGCTGGTCAACTTCTGCACCTTTCTGCACAAGAAGGGAGATTGCTTCCGCGTGCTTGTTCAGGACAGCAACTGTGAGAGCAGGCCTGTCCCTGTCGCTGAGGCAGTTCGGGTCAGCTCCCTAGAATGCACAGGTGAGGGAAGGTGAGCTGTTGAAAGCTGTAAAGATTCCTCAGCTTCCACCTTGCTTTAATATTATGCTAATTTAAGTTGGCAAAGGGACTTCATGCTCAAGATGGAGAAATGTTCAAAGTGTGTGGTATTGCTGCTTCATGTTTCTTCTGAAAATGTTTGTTGCCTCCTAGCTCAAAGCCAGAGTAAACGTATATAACAAGAGCAGTCAAACTGGGTCCCACAGTCAGGATGCACCTTACCACATAGCAAAAAGGTAGAGGTTTATGCTTGCTTTTACTAAACAGTGGACTTGACCATAAATTATAAAATTAATGTATTTTTCTTTCTCTATGGCCTTGGCAAACCCAGAGGAGAACGCGTTACACACCAGCAAAATAGAAATTTGTGGAGAACATATATAAATGTAAAATAGACTGTTTCTTCTCTTCAATCTGAAGACAGTCAGTTGTATTGCAAGGATGTTGCCTCCTAAGCATGACGTTGAAGTCGCGTACCAGGCTAATATTCATGCAGTAAATGGTCAAAGAGTTGGAAGCAAGCAATAACTTACTTCACTGAGCAGTTGTCCTACCAAGGTGATTCTTCCTTTCCCTTTTGGACCCAGTTCGTCCAGTAGTTGTCTGGACTCTGGCTGTGGAAACATGGAAAATCGCCAGTAACATTTCACATAGTGAAGATACAAGTCGGTGGGCCATATTCTGCCTTTGAGTAAAGGCAGAAAATGCACATAGTGGCACGAATGCAGCATAGCTGAGCCTCAGTGTTACTAACCCATGACCCTTCTGTGGGAATATCTTTCTGAATCTGAGCAGGTGTTGGATAACCCAGGCTAATATCTCATTATTGAGGTCTTGATTCAGCAAATATCTCTGCAAATGATTAGCTTTACATCAATGTAGCTCTCTGGGGCTGTACAAAGATCTGCTCACCACAGTAAAATTAAACATGGGCACAAGTTCTTTGCTATAGGATTAAAGTTTGAAGCTTCCAGAACTTGTGGAAGTATTTTATGTAAAATGTGAGTATGTTTTGCCTCATAGAAGTTAGTTTACTAAATCTTATACCAGCAAAGCAACAATAAAACCTAAAACCTTTTCCTTCTATCTCTTCCTAGCCTTCCACCTCCTTCCTTTCCACTTTCAAAAGCCCAATCACTTGAGCAATCATTTTTATTTCTGGACTTGTCACAAAGCTCTGTACCTTCTTCCACTTGTTGACTTGGCTAACTAATCCAAGCTTAGATTAATGCACGTTTCCCTTTTGAAATTTTCCATGCCACTACGGACAACCCATTTAGTAGGCAGTGCTTCCAGGATATTTGGTCTCTAGTGGAAATCAAGCCTTGCTTCTTGCATTAAGCTAGCCTTCTGTTATGCTGACATCTCAGCTTGATGGGAAAACCAAGCTGACTTAAAAGCTTGTTGTGTAGGTGATCTTCCCCTGTCTAGATTACAGCCTCACTGTGTGAACAGCAGTTCTAGCACAGCCAAGGGTATGTCCTATGGAGTCAAACCAAGTAGTAAGGGTTGAGGGAAGACGATAAAGCCTCCATCTGGTGTTGCTTCTGAGAAAAACCTGTAACAAAGTCAGTCTGCAACAGTCTTTAGGCCTAATGCTGTGGCAGTAAAACAGAATGGGTCCAAAAATGTGAGCAACAATGTAAAGTTGTAGCAGCGAAGTTTGGTTATTCCAGTTCTGTAATAAATGCCAGCTACCAATTTTCAGGTTTTATATCAAGTCGGACTTTTTTCCTCTTCTGGGCCCCCCCTAGTCAGTGTTAAAAGCTTTCTATTTTTACCCTTGCCCTCCTTCATGTTAGTGCTGCTCTATAGGTAGTTTTTCCTGTAGTGGCAGAAGATACATACGGGGAGCTTATCTTCTTTTTCTGTAAGTGTGCTTGACTTCGTTCTTTTTATTTTGTCTCTTGAATGGAAAAGATTATGATCATCTTTGCCTACCAGAAAGGGAAACAAGTGTTAATGCAAAGCAAAGTCAGTATCCTAACAAGAACTTGGGGGAGACATCTGGAAATAATTTATCCACAAAAATATTTTATTTTGTGTTGAAATGAAAGCAATATTTACCCATTTTGTACAAGAGAAAGTGATGAAATATTTGTTGCACATCAGACTCGTTTTAACAAAAGGTTTACACTCAGGCAGACTTAAAAACTTGCTATTTTGAAATGAAGATTCAATGAAATGTGGAGTTTGGGGGGGTTGAGTCTTTTTTTAACTAGCTGCAGCTATTCAGCAGGTTTGGCTTGGATTCATTAATTGTTTTGACCAAAAACCTTACAATTTTTCAATGCTGTTTAGCTCCCAAGTACTTAAGAGCAAGACTAGAGGACCTTGAGTAGATACATACATCCATTATTTCTAAGAGATGTAGTCTCCCAATGTGCAGGATAAGGAAATTATGCAGCAAGTGGGGAGCCTTTGAGCTGGTGCTGCTAGAGTGCCTGGAATCACAGTCACGTTACTGACACTCCAGAAAACCAGCTCTTAGTGCTGTGGCTGCCACTTGCCAAGTCTCAGATTAGAAGCACAAACTGGCAGAAACTTATACATTAATTGAAGTATGTCAAATTATACTATAGGAATTTCTGAATTCTAATGTGACTTTACAACTAGTTGATTTAATGAAAACCTAAGTCCAGTATGAGATGCCTAAAATGCTGAGCTGTTACTGACACCAATGGGAGATGCAAGCTAAGAAGGACAAGAGGACAAGCAAGAAGGACATTGAGGCACTGGAGTGTGTCCAGAGAAGGGCACCACAGTTGGTGAGGGGTCTGGAGCACAAGCCTTATGAGGAGCTGAGGGAACTGGGGTTGTTTAGCCTGGAGAAAAGGAGGCTGAGGGGAGACCTTATCGCCCTCTACAACTACCTGACAGGAGGTTGTAGCGAGGTGGGGGTTGGTCTCTTGTCCCACGTAACAGGCAATGAGAGCAAATGGCCTCAAGTTGTGCCAGGGAGGTTTACTTAGATATTAGGAAAAATTTCTTTACTTATCAAGCACTAGAATGGGCTGCCCAGGGAAGTGGTGGAGTCACCATCCCTGGAGGTATTTAAAAGAGGTGTAGATGAGGTGCTTAGATGCAGGGTTTAGTAGTGGACAGGTATGGTTAGACTCGATAATCTTAAAAGTCTTTTCCAACCAAATGATTCTATGATTCTAAGCATCTCGGAAAACTAGGTCTGGAATTAATGTATTTCATCATTTCTTATCTTTGCTGAATGTGCCGAAGCTGAAGTCCCTGGCACAGCTCAAAAGTAGAGTTAATATTGACATTGATAGCTCCTATTGTTAATGAATATGCAAAGCATCTAAAGTTTTATCACTATAACAGAGACCCTGCTGTGAGCTGTGGCTGCAGTTTACTGGCCTCTCCAGCTGTCCTCTAGGGATGAAGCATTCCCATAAGATTTTGACAGAGTCTGTACATTGCTTAAATCTCAACTCAGCCACATTTTGAGACTTAAAGATCAACTTAAGTAGGTGCAGAATGTGCCAGTATATTCGTTTGCCCATCTCAGTGTCTTACCTTCCAAGCACTACTTTCATATTCTTCACTATTATATTTATGGTCTATCATAAAGACAGAGGGGGAAAAAAAAATCTCACCTGAACCTGTCATACTGCCATCCTGTCCATCTCCAACTTCTGTTACAGTATTCAGGTAATGCAAAAAAAGTTTGTTAGTATGAATGTCCTGTAGAATCATCAAATGCAGGCAGTTAATCAGATAATCATGTAATGCTGTTACAAGCTTAGTAGCACAAAACAGTGGTGTTGCATATGAAAAAATACATAGGCTTTTAATATCAGTCTCAAATTAGCACAAGACAAATTATTATGTGTAATTGGACTTTGTTTTGAGGCAAAATAAGATAGCATTTTTTTTAAACCTTGTGTTAGGTATTTTTTTTGATTTAAAAAAAAATAATGAAACAACCTCACTTAATGAAATGAAGATTCTCATCCAAATGAAAGTGTGTCTACTACTTGAGAGATCTGTTTACCTCCTCACTTGTGAAATGATGTGATACACCTTTTCAGGCACCACTTGACAAGGTAAGCTAAAGATTCTGCACAAGAGATACAGCCTGAATTTTGGATCTTGGAAATGGTAGATTGTCATCTTTGGAAAGCTGAAAATGAATACATGGGTGGTTTTTGGAACATGGTAATTCTGGAGGTAGGGATTTTGAGTGTTTGAATACAGTTAACGGGAGCTCTGGCAAACATTATGTCCAAACTCCTGAAAATTACTAAGCTTGTTTCTTAAGAGCACAATATGCAGACTAAAGAAAAAGAAGCTCTAAGATCTAGAGCTAAGGGGTGCTAGAATGATCAAAGAGCAACAGCTGAAAGAAGAATGTTAATATTAATAGCAAACTAATGAAATGCCAGATGATAGCAACATAAGCATGAAGTCTGGCTTAATCAGATAAAGATACCTGTTCAGCCAGCTCCAACAGAAAAAGAAAAAGATTCCTTTCTCTGAAGTAATGAGTTAACACCCTCTGAACAAAAGAATTTATTGTTTAGACCTGAATTTGAAATATATCAGCATTACACTGACTGGTCTAGTGACAGCTTTAGACCAGGTGCCTAACAACAGGCCTCATCCCCCAAACTGACCTTGTTAATAGCAAGAGCGTAATTCAGTGTAATAGTGACTTCATAGTCATCCTCACGGACGGCAGCAGAATTAATCTAGAGGGTAAGAGCAGCCGTTACGATCAAAAAGTACACAGAAATAGTTATAGGAATAAGTCTTGCTGATGATGTTTATTATGGAGCCAATATACAAAATCACACATGTGGCCTTTGCCTACTTGTGATATCATACCAACACTTCCATCTTACTCAGCAAGGGGCAGGTGGTATTTTGAGTAACTGGAAATATCAGAATGCCAAATGAATCCCAAAGATGTAATAACTCTACGTTTCATGAAAGTCTGGCCATTCTCCACCTAGCTTTTGCAGCTGCATGAAAGACTGTGTTGTCCTTAGGACTGCCTGCTCCAGGAGAACTGGTTGCTGCTTCAGTTGTACCCATCTGTAGAAGCACAGTGTGTAGTGAAATGTGGGCACCTTTCTATAGGTGAGACATTCATTGAGACAGTAGTGCTGGCAAGAAGACTATCAAAGTTATCCATAAATAAGTGCACAGGGGATTATAAAGAAGTGGAATGAGGCAAGGTTAGATTGCAGCAGGTTGAGAATTTTTAGATAAGGTCAATTATATTTCTAATCCACAGGAAAACTGAAAAAAGCAGCATTACACCCAGACAGTTGGCATCTACTTTGAATCACCTCTGTTACTTTTGGGGGCAGCAGTTTTGAGACAATAGGATGACAAAAGGCCAAGAAGCAGCCTTCTCTAGGCAATTTAATATTTCTCAGTTTTTGAATATTTTCCACTTTTTGAATCTGCTAGCAAAGGAAACAAGTTGCAGTGGACCTATACTTCATCTCCATCAAGCAGGTATCTTTTATATTTACACTTGTACTACAGCTTCTGAACGTAGGGGTGGGCCCAATAGGTTTCAGTGGGCATGGAATTCAGATGCAAAGTATCTGATGGAGTGTCGTACTTCTCAAAAGTGTCACCTGCCAAATGTCAATTAGATTTCTGAACCCCAGTATTCACGAACTTTTCTGTAGTTGTTTCTATGTGCTGAAACTGGTTTTTTTTTTGACTGGTGTGTCACGTCAGTCAGGAAAGGCTAAGAATTATTGAGCTTGAACTGTAACAAGGGAGACTTAGGTCAGACACTGGGAAAAAGCTTCCCAGTAGCTATGCCAGTTGAAGGAGTTCCCAACCCTACTTCTGCCTGCATCCCACTTCCAGCTGCTTGTTGCCAACCTACTTTTGTACTAGCACTGATGCCCTTTTTTCCCCTCCAGAGTTATTTTTCTCCCAGGTCAGTCACTGATCCAGTCCACAGGACATTGCCACAAGCAGCACCTAGGAAGCAGCGTGAGGGGATGCAACTTCTTTACCCAGCAGGGCTGCCAAAGAAAGCAATACAGTACTGCAGCTGAACAGCAAGGATAATTGAGTGCAGAAATTGGGGGCAGTTGTGAAATCTCCATTGTTGGTGAGTTTGAAAAGCTTCAAGGCAAACATCTGTAAGGAACAGTTTAGGCAGAGTTGATCCTCCCTCAGGACAGGGACCAAAAGATCTCTCAGTCATACTAGCCCTACCTTCTAGGACTCTTTAGGAAGAATCTCCATTTTCCACCTTCTTGCTATCACCCCTTTAATCCTTTTAATGCAGTTTGGTGACATCCTGAAGACTACATCTCCAGTAAGAAAAGTAATACCCTGTTCCTATCATACTGGTATAGTTTATACTAGAAGTAGACTACATAGCCAAAGAGAATTGCTGCTATCTGCTGGTATAACCCAGCCCAGAGCAGAGGCAAGGATATCATTACATCCCATTGCTAGCAGGGCTTATTTAACTGACCAACCACACAGATGTCAGTGATCTCTTCTTTTTCTTGATTGCCTGCTGTGGGACACTGTAAGGGATACTATAAAGGCAGCTGATCAAGGGCTTTCTGGCTTCTATCACTTCTCTTATAGCTGTGAGGTGAGAGAAGAATAGAAACTGCCATAGGAAAGAAGGCTGAAAAAAATGTTCAGTAAAAGTCTGAGCAAAAAACAGAACAACAAAACAAATTACACACACAAATAGGTCAAGATATAAAGAAAAGGGAGACATTTATTTTTTCCAGCATTTATGTAGCAGCCACAATCATATTTTTATGAGGCTGCATAGGAAGATAATACTCACAGGCTCCTTCCTACCTTTCCCATTCGAGGTTCTCCAATCAGGGCTCTGAATTCAAGGTTGTTCTGAGCATAGCTTCTAAGGTGTGCACAGATGTGATCCAGCTGTTTCCTCCAGTAACCTGACCAGAGAGAGTTAAGCAGGAGAAAAATCCCTTAAATCATGATGAACATTTCCTCTACTCATGTGATGGATGATGTAAAAGCATATTTTCACTGAGATAAAGAAAAAATTGAATTTTTCTTTTAAAAATTCATCTGATCAAGAAAAGGAAAAGCAAGTTATACCCTAAAAAAAGGTAAAATGCTTTCTTATCCATAGATTATAATTCATTCTTAGGGTACCTGTATTCAAAACAAAACCAAGTCTCAGAATTGTCCTTTGGAATCAAAACTGGCCCTGTGTGAAGGAGAATCTCACACTATTCCAGATCATCAAAGAAAAAAAGTACAGTATTACCACTAAGCAATTGTGCATTATTGAACTGATTTTTAGTTGATTTGAGATCACTGACAGGTAACAATAAGCCATATCTGAACACTGCAGATGTAGTAACTCAACCTGTACAGCATTCTAGTCTGTGTAAAATATTCCCCAAATAAATGCCTTTCAATTATATATGTAA